ACAAGGAACAAACACTGGTTCCTGAAGACAGGCACACAATGGAAAAACTGATTAAAATACATGCATTTGCTCTAAGAAAAATACGGAAAATTTACTAAAAAATACTGCAGGAAAAAAAAAACCACTTAAAGTATTCTCAAATCCAAATTATTTACGAATCTGGATTGGGTCTACAATACTGACTTTCAAAATGTGGATAATAGCAATCAATATTGCTGGATTATAAGGGGGCAGCATAATAGTACCCTTTCAACATAATAGAATTTCTAATAGCACCTAAAGTCCACTACAGGCTCACCATAGCCCGTGCTACTTGGGACTTCTTGTTCCAAGTAATGAATCTTAAACAACAACATAATAGCACCTCCGTGTTTTGTAAGGATGTTTAAGACAGATCTTGTGACCTTATACATTAGATTATGAAGGAGATTATGATAAAGGTGGGAGGAAGGAGGGGTTGGTGAAGGAGAAGGTGGGGGGAGGGGGGCAAAGGCTGTGAAAAATGTGGGGTTAATAGATATAATGGATGCATGTGAGCCTCATGGCCTACCATCACTGACCTTATCAGTGGTAGTGTGTACACATTATTGGACTTGCACCTCGGTAGAACAGGCAAGAGCCCTTAAACGCGTAAAGGGGGGTTACTATGTGGTGAATTTCAAGACTGACTGTCACTTACGAGTGTATGAACGTGAAGTGTGAGCAAGATAAATGTGTGAAAGTGAATGTGTTGTGTAATTACCCAAGTATAATTAAAGGTTGAGAGAGCTATTTTTTGGAGGTATCCCATCTTTCCAGTACTCTGCCATATGATGCTTTGAAGCTATTGATGGTTTTTATATATATATCAACTTCTCCCTTAACTTGTTCATATAACCTTCCACTCTGTTTGCAAAGGTGAACTTTCTAATGTTTTTGGGCATCTTTGTTTCCAATGCTTAAATCTATGACTTTTGTCCAAGTTTCAACTTTCAATAATTCTTTATCAATTTTGAAGATTCCTGTTACTATTTTGTATGTAGTGATCATACTGCCCCTTTCTAGTTTTATCACTACTGCAGAATGTTTTAGGGGTATAATTTACAACCAAAACAACTAATTACCTAAATGTAGTTACAGGATGAGAGCTACGCTTGTGGTGTCCCGTCTTTCCAGCACTGTCATAATGCTTTGAAACCGACTGTTTTGGCCTCCACCACCTTCTCACTTAACTTGTGCCAACTGTCTATCACTCTGTTTGCAAAAGAAAACTTTGTAATATTTTTCAGCACCTCAGGTTTCCTTAGCTTAAATCTATGACCTCTTGTTCTTGAGGTTATAGGTTTCAGGAATTCCTTTTTGTTAATATGGTCAGTTCGTTATTTTGCAAGTGGTGATCATATCCCCTATGTCTTCTATCTTCTAGCTTTGGCACATTTGACACCTGTAGCCTCTCTTCATAACTTGTTTTTTCAATTCTGGAAGCCATTTTGTAGTATACCTTCACACTTTTTCCCAGTTTACTGATGTGCTTCTTGGTATATGGGCACCATACAACTGCTGCATATTTCAACTTTAGTCTCACAAAGATCATTAACAATTTCACCATCCATGTAATTAAAAGCAATTCTGAAATTGAAGAGCGCAGCATATGCTCCTCGCATAATGTATATCATGTTCCTCTGATGACATTCTATTATTCACAACCAACCCTACATCTCTTTCTTTGTTAGAGTTCTTTAATTCCTTTCCACATAATCTGTAGGTTGCGCATTCTATTTTCTCTTATTCAACATTCCATAACGCAGTCCATCCTTCTGTTTTGGTAGTACCTGTACTTATAGTAACCATCAGGACCATAGTATATATACCAACGTACAACAAAATAAGAAGGTAGAAATCTGAACTACTGAATTGGACAAACCGGATTTTTTTATTACTTGCGTTGCTTTGACAAACTAAACTAACCTAGCCTAACCTTCCTAGGCCTAATACACGATATCCGACTCCTAATATAGTACATGTGTGCGCTATACTAGGCCTAGGAATATTTAAGTTTATTTTCTACCTTAATTTATTCTAAAAATTCCTTACTAGTCAGTATACTACTATCGAAAAGTTAAATATAGTTCATACAAATTCGTGACTATTGACGATCGTCACAATAGGTTACTATCTAAACAGGAGGATGCGTTGCATAGAGAGAACTGTACCCTGTGCTACTCCACTAGTAACACTTCTCCAGATACATTGGCTTTGATTACCACTCCATCTTTCTGTCAAAGTTTTCATCCATGTCAGCAGTCTACCTCTCCCCTTTTCTAGCATGTTCATTTCCAAAACCTTTTGTGTGGGACTTTTTTTTTTAGGTCCAGATACACAGTCAACCCCAACCATCTCTCTCCTGTATAATCCGTGACTATCATAAAAACTACATTTGTTACACATGATCTTCCTGTTCAAAAACAGTGTGTTATGTCATTACTCTCTAGGTGTTTTACCCATTCAGTTTTAACTGTCTTTTCTAGTGTTTTACTACCATGTTTGTTAATTATACGAGTCTATACCTTAGAAGGTCTTGTCTGCTACCATTGTCTGACACTGGAACAATGTTTACCTTTTTCCAAATATCTGCCAAGATTCCTGTGGACAGATGTCTGGAATACAAGTTTAAGTGGAATGTTTAGCATGTCTATGTACTCTGCTAATACCAGAAATCACCAGACAATGTGTCCGATTTCCTGTAAACCATATTTTGCAAGCACGCACTGGATTTTATCCTTTACAAGCAGTTTGCTTTTAATGAATTTATACAGGAGGCCAGAATCTGTTTTACATTTGTCCACTACTCATTCTCAAAGTTTGTGATTATACTCTGGCATCTGGATATTTATGTACAAAATTTGATGTGTATTAATTGATCATTTAAGGTATCCCACCCCCCAACATTAAAGTGACCAAATTGTACCATCAGGGGCTCCGTGACCTAATAGAAGACGTTTACACAAATCTTTAAAGATTTAAACCAACATCAAAAGTGTTCAGAAAGGTGCAGCAAATTGTTACAAAAGCATGAGGTATTCCTACCATACATTCTTGAGGAATGTATACATCTTGAGGTTATCTTGAGATGATTTCGGGGCTTTAGTGTCCCCGCGGCCCGGTCCTCGACCAGGCCTCCACCCCCAGGAAGCAGCCCATGACAGCTGACTAACTCCCAGGTACCCATTTACTGTTAGGTACCAGGGGGCATCAGGGTGAAAGAAACTCTGCCCATTGTTTCTCGCCGGCGCCCGGGATTGAACCCGGAACCACAGGATCATGCGTCCAGTGTTCTGTCCACTCAGCCACCGGCTTCCCCCACGATGCCATAATGATACAAATATATTTAGCTCGCATATTCCAAAAGAAAATGAAACATCACTTAAAAAGCTAAGTTTAAAGCTGTGGTACCTGAGAAGTAATAGCATTAACACATACTGTACTAGCAAGTTAGCTTTACAGCATGCTCTTAACAAATGTAATATCCTCCAGAGCAGCACGAGTCTCACCAGAACATGCTCCAGAGCAGCACCAGTCCCACCAGAACATGCTCCAGAGCAGCACTAGTCCCAGCAGAACATGCTCCAGAGCAGCACCAGTCCCACCAGAACATGCTCCAGAGCAGCACCAATCCCACCAGAACATGCTCCAGAGCAGCACCAGTCCCACCAGAACATGCTCCAGAGCAGCACCAGTCCCCCGCCAGAACATGCTCCAGAGCAGCACCAATCCCACCAGAACATGCTCCAGAGCAGCACCAGTCCCCCACCAGAACATGCTCCAGAGTAGTGGCCGCACTGGTATACAGTACTTTAGAGTAGCAACGTGTGTAAGCATGGTCCAAATGGGCAGACATTACTTCAGCACCCTCCAGAATAGCAGATTACTTACCATGCACTTGGACAGCCTACACAATTACAGCGTGCACAAGAGGAATAAAAATGGTTTCTCGTTATCATGGACAGGAAGCTCGTATGGTTTACCGAGCACCCCCCCCCCCCCCAAGACCCAGAACCGACCGACCTTCCACAGGCCGCAACCCACAAATGTTGTCTACCTCCCAGGTACGTATTTAATGCTAGTTATATAGCAGCCCAAGGTATAAGAAAACATGCTCGGCATCAGATAAGCACGTTAATATCAAACAAGCAACAAATAATGTATAGGCCTAATGTTATCTTACCCCCAGGGGTCAACAAATCTATAATGGCAACATTTATTAGTGAAGTCGTTTCAGCAAAATAAAGGCACCATTGACTTTAAATGCTAGTATGGACTGCAATTGTATTTCAGATAAAGGAGCATATTCAAGAGACTAACTTGCTAACTCAATTTCTTGAGACTTGCTAACAAATAATTTGCAGACACCACTGCCCATGGGATGGGTATGGGGTGTATAATAAAGAAAAAATTGAATTGAAATTGACAAAGTTAACATTAAACATAAAAAAGGTACTCTTGGGTAATTAATACCCAAATGGATCACAATTGGTTAAAACTTTATAGATTTAAGAAATTTGTTTTAGGACAAGGTGAAGTGCCATTCCATGGAAGTCTTGCATAGAGTGAATCGCTGATTGTGCATTTATATATTAAATGCTTCAGAACCTTAATGCTCATGTGCAGTAATTATTTGCGTGTACACGAAGCAACTTTTTGCTCTTATTTGCTTAAAACTATTTTGTTAACATTCCAATTCTGCTGCATTCACAACCTATTGCTTTATTTCAAATATTTGCTGTATTTTACAACCAAGAGGCCTCCTTGTCATTGGTGCCTTCAGTTTTCAAAACTCTTCACTGCCAACCCCTTTCAACTGTGCCACTAATGCCATTAATCCAATGCCACTTAAATCACATGAAGACTTGAAGGAGCCATACTTAAGTCAGCCACAATGGAGCCAAGCCTAATTAATAGCAGTGGCAGGATCAGGTGTCTTAACATAAGCTGACTGGTAGATGTAACCACTATTCCAATACCTGTAGAGAGGACATGACGTTGTTGGCCAGGCTACCTAGACGGCCTGCCACCTTCGTAACGCCTTGCCGCACAGATTCTCGAACCTCATCCAAGTCTGGAGCCTGAGGGTAAAGGATGGACTGGTATGACCCCACCAAATACATTTGCACTTCTTAAAAACATAGTGAACCTCTTCCGAGACATTTGGAATTGTGTTGCACACGAGGAATGTTCCCCCCCCCCCCTTGTTCCTGACATTCTTCAAAATATCATTAGTGTGGACTACCTACATTTACTCCTTAGATAAATTAAATATAGTGTACTACATAAATTTATTTCCTAAGTATTAGTAGTATTTATCTAAAAATACTAAATAGAACAAATCCACATTTTTTAAGCAATAGAAGTTCCTACTGTATTTCTCAACATTAATAATAATACTCCTGAATCTAACATACTCCTTACCTACAGAGCACTGCTCTGTCCTTATTGTTGTGTTTTGTTTTTATCCTATCCAGGTCTTCATTCCCTAAAGCAGACAACACTCTTCAACCTGGATTTCCAACCATGATGAAACTAACTAAAAGAAAATATTACTTTTTGTAAAAATATTATTATTAACTTCCAAATGCAGAGATGTGTATGTGAAAATTACATGGGTATGGTCATTTCTTAAACATCTTGTTAATTTTATACTTCTTTTAATTATGCTATGCCTCCACAAACAAATGCCAAATAAAAGTACTTTAACTTCATTTCAAAATTCTGTATAGTAAAGCCAGTGAACAAATTTTTTTCAATTTAAAATGATATAAAAATGCCGATAAACTAAAAGCACAAAACCTACTTTTAGTTCATCGAACTAAAAATCTTACGGCACTAGTCCCAAACTTTTCACACTACTAACTTTTGTCAACCTTGTTGATACCCTTTTAACACTTTCAGTCATAACCGTTTCCTGATCTGAACTATTTCTTTCAGTCAATCACATTTTGTTTCTTACAGCACAAATCTCTGGACTATTCTCTAGCTTTCTTACATACTGCAGATGTGGACTCCATGAAGGTAGACCTGATCAAATATTAGTCCTACATTCATTGCGTGCATTCCACTGTACATGCGTAGTGTCCCCAAAACCCAAGTTACCAGTATAGGGATGGATTAAATATTAAGCTCGGAGAGCACAACTTATTTTACTAGTCAAAAATATGCGTCACGCATCAAAAAATGAGATTCAGTTCTGCACAAGTCTTAGATTTTTATAATATCATTCTTTCTTCTTTAAGAACTAAACTTCTCAAGTCATTCTTCTATAATCAAATTAGTGTACTCAATTATCAATCACTAACATGAGCAATTCTTTCTAAGTACAAGACATTGTCTTTAGTTCTGGATTCCCATATGATAAAATCTGTTTAAAACAAAATGATTTAAACTATTTTAAACTCTTGTTGATAACCGACTTCTAATATTAAGTAATGCCTTTACACAGACACTGAACATCATATTGAAGAATTAGGCTTCCTTCAACACGTATTCCCCAAAATATTTTTATACCAAAGATGGCAACACTAAGCTGCTCCTTTCTACAAAAATTTGAAAATCTAGAAATATTTCACATGCATTAAAGAGCCAAAAACATTCAGATAATACAAGATTTTCATTCATGGTATATATATAACTTTAGGGCCTGGGGCCAGATTTATGAAGCAGTTTTGCAAGTACTTACGAACCTGTCCATCTTTTCTCAATCTTTGGCTGCTTTGTTTACAATTATTAAACGGTTAATGATCTCCGAAGCACTAGGAGGCTGTTTATAACAACAGTTGATTGGGAAGATTTCATGCTTGTAAACTGTTTAATAAATGTAACCAAAATCGTCAAAGATTAAGGAAAGATTCACATGTTCGTAAGTACTTGCATAACTGCTTCATGAATCTGGCCCCTGGTATCTATCTGCCTTATGTTCCTGCATGCATTCTTGAAAGATAAAGGATAAAATTTGCTTGCAAGCCTAAAAGTGACATGATCTTGACCCATAAGCCCACCTGTAAGGATCCTCCACTGTAGTTCCTTTGGGTCTGGGTCCCACCAAAGAGATCAGCAGAGGAGATCGAGGTTGATCCTTCATATCGAGCCAGAGTAGAACGCACTTCTGCATTAGGATCGCGATCTTGGAAGAACATGTCAGATGAAATGGCCTTTGCATTGCCAAACTTTTGTTGAGCTTTGTTGTCCTCAACTGGTGTGTATTTGTAATTGGCCGAGGCTGAGACTGGAAAATTAATTAAGGCTTCAAATAGGTAAACAGTAAAGTTACAATGCACTTCAAGTATATCTATCTCTATATATCTCTATATATCTCTATATATCTCTATATATCTCTATATATCTCTATATATCTCTATATATCTCTATATATCTCTATATATCTCTATATATCTCTATATATCTCTATATATCTCTATATATCTCTATATATCTCTATATATCTCTATATATCTCTATATATCTCTATATATCTCTATATATCTCTATATATCTCTATATATCTCTATATATCTCTATATATCTCTATATATCTCTATATATCTCTATATATCTCTATATATCTCTATATATCTCTATATATCTCTATATATCTCTATATATCTCTATATATCTCTATATATCTCTATATATCTCTATATATCTCTATATATCTCTATATATCTCTATATATCTCTATATATCTCTATATATCTCTATATATCTCTATATATCTCTATATATCTCTATATATCTCTATATATCTCTATATATCTCTATATATCTCTATATATCTCTATATATCTCTATATATCTCTATATATCTCTATATATCTCTATATATCTCTATATATCTCTATATATCTCTATATATCTCTATATATCTCTATATATCTCTATATATCTCTATATATCTCTATATATCTCTATATATCTCTCTCTCTATATATCTCTCTCTCTATATATCTCTCTCTCTATATATCTCTCTCTCTATATATCTCTCTCTCTATATATCTCTCTCTCTATATATCTCTCTCTCTATATATCTCTCTCTCTATATATCTCTCTCTCTATATATCTCTCTCTCTATATATCTCTCTCTCTATATATCTCTCTCTCTATATATCTCTCTCTCTATATATCTCTCTCTCTATATATCTCTCTCTCTATATATCTCTCTCTCTATATATCTCTCTCTCTATATATCTCTCTCTCTATATATCTCTCTCTCTATATATCTCTCTCTCTATATATCTCTCTCTCTATATATCTCTCTCTCTATATATCTCTCTCTCTATATATCTCTCTCTCTATATATCTCTCTCTCTATATATCTCTCTCTCTATATATCTCTCTCTCTATATATCTCTCTCTCTATATATCTCTCTCTCTATATATCTCTCTCTCTATATATCTCTCTCTCTATATATCTCTCTCTCTATATATCTCTCTCTCTATATATCTCTCTCTCTATATATCTCTCTCTCTATATATCTCTCTCTCTATATATCTCTCTCTCTATATATCTCTCTCTCTATATATCTCTCTCTCTATATATCTCTCTCTCTATATATCTCTCTCTCTATATATCTCTCTCTCTATATATCTCTCTCTCTATATATCTCTCTCTCTATATATCTCTCTCTCTATATATCTCTCTCTCTATATATCTCTCTCTCTATATATCTCTCTCTCTATATATCTCTCTCTCTATATATCTCTCTCTCTATATATCTCTCTCTCTATATATCTCTCTCTCTATATATCTCTCTCTCTATATATCTCTCTATATCTCTCTCTCTATATATCTCTCTCTCTATATCTCTCTCTCTATATCTATCTCTCTCTCTATATCTATCTCTCTCTATATCTATCTCTCTATATCTATCTCTCTCTCTATATATCTCTCTCTCTATCTATCTCTCTCTCTATATCTATCTCTCTCTCTATATATCTCTCTCTATATATATATCTCTCTATATATATATATCTCTCTATATCTCTCTCTCTATATCTCTCTCTCTATATCTCTCTCTCTATATCTCTCTCTCTATATCTCTCTCTCTATATCTCTCTCCCTATATCTCTCTCCCTATATCTCTCTCTCTATATATCTCTCTCTCTATATATCTCTCTCTCTATATATCTCTCTCTCTCTCTCTCTCTATATATCTCTCTCTCTATATATCTCTCTCTCTATATATCTCTCTCTCTATATATCTCTCTCTCTATATATCTCTCTCTCTATATATCTCTCTCTCTATATATCTCTCTCTCTATATATCTCTCTCTCTATATATCTCTCTCTCTATATATCTCTCTCTCTATATATCTCTCTCTCTATATATCTCTCTCTCTATATATCTCTCTCTATCTCTCTCTCTATATCTCTCTCTATATATCTCTCTCTCTATATATCTCTCTCTCTATATATCTCTCTCTCTCTCTCTCTATATATCTCTCTCTCTATATATCTCTCTCTCTATATATCTCTCTCTCTATATATCTCTCTCTCTCTCTCTCTCTATATATCTCTCTCTCTATATCTCTCTCTCTATATATCTCTCTCTCTATATATCTCTCTCTCTATCTCTCTCTCTATATCTCTCTCTCTCTCTATATCTCTCTCTCTCTATATCTCTCTCTCTCTATATCTCTCTCTCTCTATATCTCTCTCTCTATATATCTCTCTCTCTATATCTCTCTCTCTCTATATATCTCTCTCTCTATATATCTCTCTCTCTATATATCTCTCTCTCTCTATATCTCTCTCTCTATATATCTCTCTCTCTCTATATATCTCTCTCTCTATATATCTCTCTCTCTATATATCTCTCTCTCTATATATCTCTCTCTCTATATATATCTCTCTCTATATATATCTCTCTCTATATATATCTCTCTCTATATATATCTCTCTCTCTATATATCTCTCTCTCTATATATCTCTCTCTCTATATCTCTCTCTCTATATATCTCTCTCTCTATATAT